TTTTTGCCTTCCCATTGTCGATGATTCTTCTCCCAACGGGAATCTGGTGTCGATTTTCTCTTCGTGCTACTGTAATGTATATGAGTGCTCTGCGTCCTCTCTAGACGTACTGGGCCGCCAAGGTTCGTATTCGTAACATGATAATATACTTACACAGCCATCGTTATGGTGATGGTGAATGCTTCGAGTGAAAACTCAACGCTGTTGTTACTGCTACTCGTCGGTCATAGTTTAGTGACATTCGTGAAGAAGCCCTTCTCGGTTGAAAATCGTATGGGCATTGACTGACATTGTATGAGCGACTTCGTTCTATGGCGTTGTAGTGATGACGGTGATCCCAAGTTCTCGTTGAGTGTTTGCAGTTCAATAGTTCAAGGAGTTGTGTTGTGCATCAATATCCAAGTATTGGGGAAGCTATTATTTTTTTTTGGATAAAATGGTTGGCGGAGCGAAGTATTTTTGCGTCATTCTGGTGATTATCTTGGGATTCAGTCGTGCTGTCAGAGAGGGTCGAGAGGAACGTTCAGGTTGGTTGTTCATACTGTGGTTGGATGCATGTGTTTCGCAGAGATCGACGTGGGGCAAAAGGGTGCATCGTCTCTGCTGCAGTTCGTGGACTTCAAGTCGTTGGGTGGTGCGGCAGTTTCCTTTATGCCGCCCCAGGTAGGTTGGAAGACGAGATCGAGTCATGTGTGGATTGCCTTTTTTCACATAGCTCCGTGGCGCTGCTGGGGGAGCACTGAATCTTTTGGAGGCAGAGGCGTTACGAAAACAGGTGGGCTTCCGTAAAGCTGTAATGGGTCTTGTGAATCATCTTGTGTTAGGGCGTGGTTCCACTTATGGCTGGAGGTGAAGACTATCACTGGATGTGCGTGTGTACTCCAGAGGAAGAGAGCAAACCCGAGGGGAGACGAAGGTGCCCGTCGGCCCAGGGTGAACTTGCTCAGGAGAAGGGTACCCCATTGGGATGCATGCCCCGGTCTAGCTTGAGCAGATGATCCATGAAGTTCAATGTGTTGTATACCCCTTGAATGATATTGTGTTGTCTAGGATGCTGTCTAGAACTACAGGTTGTTCGGTCTCAGTCTGCGCCTGATCGATGGGACTTTCGTCATAGAAGAGAATCGTTCGGTAACAACTTGTTTCGTTGACAACACTTTTAGTCGCTTGATAACAAATGTTGCCGCTCCGCCGTGTGTCATCATCCCTTCCTTCTGTGCAAGTTGCCCGCGGTGCATGCTTCGCACTGCGAGCCATGTCTTCGACTCAGGGAAACCAGAGGCCGGGCAGGTAAGGAGGTTAGCGTGAATAGCGCGCTCTTGTGATGTTTTGTCCTAGGATCTGACGAATAAAAAAGCCCTTGCCCTGCAAACTAGTTTTCGGAAGCACTCGGATGAGCATACTATCTATCAGGTCCTGGAAGGTGAAAGTATCGAATATGACCGACGATCAGAAGAGCATGGCGATGGCGGCTGGATTCGCTGTGCTAGCTTTCTCAATGTGGAAATGGCAGCATGATAAGGTACTGTCTCATCACGGCTTGTGTACTATCCTCATGCTGTAACAGCCCTTCGCTCGGGCTTACGAGAGTACACACTGTGAGGAGGGTAAAGTCGTCAAGGAGTCGACCGGTACTGTACCGGTTGTCGACAAGCTGCCGGAGGAATTCGATTTGAAGAGCGGAGTCGTGCGGATTGCCGTTTACCAGTATGAGAGCTGCCCGTTTTGCCGCAAGGTTGGTGTGTAGAAGCATGTGGTCATCAGTCGGACCACACAGGTTCGTGGTGTACTAGACTACCATCGGCTACCCTACAAACTGGTTGAAGTGCATCCTTTGACCAAGGCCGAGACTAAGAGCTTCGCTCCTGATTATAAGAAAGTTAGACTCGGCATGTTTTTGCACGAGTGAATTGGGTTCATGCTCAGGTGCCTTTGGTTACCTTTGAATGTAGTGGACGGATGGTACAGATGCGGAATTCTTCTGGTAACCGCATCCGGCTGCTGTCACATCCCTTCAAGGTCCACTTATTAGATATCGTCGCTGCTGTGAGTGAGGCAATGGGCACTACTAGCCACCCGAGTGAGGGGAAGGAGAGAGTGGGAGCGCCGGAGCCTACTACACGTAGTATGGTCGTGGTTTTCTATTCCATAAAATTGCCCAGTCTTTTCCCGCACCTCTGTGAGATCTCAGGATAACTGAGATACTACTGTCGCGCTGTGACAGCGCCGCTGTCATTAGTGCAAAATGCCCGTTATTCTCGACGACAAATCATCACTGACGAAAGATATGCGACTCGGCGTTTGATGCGTTGTGAAAGTACTTCCGGAAATCTCCCTGAGCAAGTATTCTCTGACCTGATCATAATTCGCTATAGAACCTCCAGGTCAGTTTGGCACCGATCACACCGTGCGATAAAATTCCAGCGATCTACGGTGTGAATCACACAGAGGCTATCTGTCGCAGCTTTTTTGTTTCTTTCGTCGTGGCAGCTAAGTTGCCGCAGCTTCAAGCAGACGGTGTATTATGCCGCAGGCTGTGAGTCTCGCAGTCCGAGGTCATTCGCCACTAGACATCCCAGCGACAGGCTATTCGGCTTGCAGGTGTCACGTTAGACATTTATCTCCGGCTCACGAGTTCTATCAGTCGTGTGATCCCTTGCACGATCTGAGTACGATCTTATGTTCTTGTCTGCGATTTGTTGATAATCTATGCGGACATCATGCTGATAAATGTATTACAACATCCCGTGCCTGCATTTAAGTGAGTGACGTGGGCTCCCCTTCAGCCTACTAGAGCCATGAGGAGTATTGTTTGATTCACAGACTCCCGTTGGGACTGACGATGTTCCGCGAGAGTGGAGTCAGACTCGAGGTCGCTATTGATCTAACTGTGGTCGGTCGTGAGCTTTGACCCCAGATTTTTCTTCCCTGAGGGTCTGAAAGAAAGGAACGATATTTCTCAATGAAGTAGACGCAGTGTATGAGACCTTAGTGGATTCGGTCGGTCCCAACTGAGGATGAAAGACCTCAGCACGTGACGCATGTGACACGGTTGAAACGACGAATCCTTTTGTGACTCCCCTTGAGGATACTATTTGCCCATTGTTTGCTGTGGTTACTAAAGAAGAAGTTAAGAAGCTACAGGGAGAGCGGATCTACTTTTGCAACAAGAACTTCGATGGTGTCTCGGCGATTGACCTCTATAGCTTAATAAATGTGTGGAAAGCATTTACCCATCTCATTGAGGGCTACTTTGAGTTTGAGAGTGTGGATGTCAGCGATGGTATTATGTAAGTGTTGATTTTATCAAACTCTAGAGAGACTGAAGACGGGACATTCATAGGACGTCAGGGCTCAGTTACGGCGCTGACTTCCATGGACCTTTCTGGGGGACAAAATCTTTCGAATGGAAATGTGTGTAGTATCCTTATAGAAATTCGCACTAATATTCACTGTTCGTCGGCTCAGGCTTCTAAGATTCATTTCTCAGTTACCAAGTTCATGACGGGGCCAGAAGCAGTAATGCCCACCACGAAAGACTCGACCGGGCCAAGTGAGGACGGTGGTCGCTTTCATCGTTGATAGTAGGTGCAAGAGTAGATACCTCGGATGGTGATGAACTCAGTGTAGAGGAGCAATGGGTCCGTTGGGCTGATCAGTGTTTGGTAGTATTTCCAGATAGCGACACATTTGACACTGCTTTTGCGGCCCAGGTACAACTAATTGTAATTAATATATATAGGAATCTGAAGGAATCTATGGAGACGTTCGACTACCTTCTCACGCACAAGGAGTTTGGATACATCTCGAAGATGGCAGTATACTGGAGTGGCACTTTTGTGATGATGATGGTATCGGGAGCTAGGAGGAAGAAGTATCATGTTCCTAAGGGAGAAGAACGAGAAGCGTTATACGAGGCAGTCGATATGATGGTGGATCAGATGGGCGACAACAGGTAGTATTTGGGCGAGGCTCTGCAAGACGCCATTGAGACTTTATCAGCTTCCTTGGCGGAAAATCTCCTTGCAAAGCTGACTTTAACGTCTATGGAGTATTGAGATCCGTGGAAGGGTTTACGACTGAGCGGCTCCTTTGGGAAAACACGAAGATCAAAGGATGGTGAGATGTGTTCCGAATGTTGGTGATGACGCAGTTCGTGGGTAGGTACGACCGCATGAAGGAGCTTGTGGGCCCCTCCATGGCTGACACTGTCGTACCACGAGGCCCTTCTACCAGCGCTGTGGTGGCCGCGTGAGTATGTTATGGCATGTTTGGTGTTAGACGCTCCCCGTCAGTTAGACTATCTGATGGTTAGTGTTTGTCATGCGTCGTTTCTGAAACTGACGAGCTTCTGATTTCTGAGAGTACGGGGGTCGCTGAATAGTTCATTCGGTATCTAGGAAACTCCATGGTATTCATGGTATCCTTGGTATCCTTAGTACAATTGACCTTAACGGCTGGAGCGGATGGGAATGGTAGTTTACGGTGTATGAACTCGATGTGTGTGGAGACGTTGGCCGTGAGATGTATGGAATATGAAAGTGCTGGACTGTGCCGTCGACGCTAGGACTGGATCGGACTGAATTAGTAGTCGAATTCGATTACATGTCAACTGATTGTGGATCAAGTGACGTAGATGACACGATGACGACGTTTGCAGGCCGCACCGACTGCCCCCGAACTGCTTGCTTATACCTCGATGGTGGAATGGGAGGAACTGCTATACCGGAGGAGAGTAGGATTTATAGCATTGGTGGGAGCTGGTGGCTGGGGTTGGTCGCGATCGTTACGCTATCCTGGCCTTACCAACAGAAGTCAGGGAAGGCGGGCTCTCACGCTAGTAGTATGAGGGAATTCGGAAAAGTAGTAGCAGATGGATTGACGACTTCTAACTGTGTAGTTAGAATGGGGGAGGAATCACAGTCATTCTGGAGTACCTTGGCGCCGGAGCGTTGCACAGGTGGCCGGGGGCTGGGCTGAGGAGGGAAAATGGCACCTGATTTTTCGCCGCTACATTCCAGAGTTTACGCTATCCAGAGCGAGAAAGTACTTATTGAGGCGTCTCAGTGTATTGATTCTCGACACTGGGGGAGGTTGGTGAAGATTCGTTCTTTGTCAGGCTCAGCCGTCGTCGCTGCCGAGAACCTCATCACCCCAGTCTGATCCCGATGCCCCTGTGAATGATGTCACCAGTGCATAATCTACTTGCAGATGGAGATGAGCATGTGGTTGGGATAGGCATTCTGTAAATGATGGCGAGAAGCAGAACAAGGCTGTATTGGATAAGGGGCAAGCACTGAAGGTAATAAGGGTGGAGACGAGGCGGTAACTATAGCTAGGGCAATAAGGGTGGCAAGTCAATTGGGATGGGGTATTTTGCATATATATATTTCAACCCATGTGCTGTCGAGCGAGCTCAGGCATTGTTGTGGAATTTGAGTGGTGATCGAATAAACAAGTTGTTCATTCGGAAAATCACAGGGTTGTCGGTCTGCCAGCCGGGCTTTATCAGAAATCGCCTATGCATGGTTTCTTACCGTTATATTCTTTCTGCTATCTATTCACATCGCTCGGTTTTCAGCTTTGTAATGTTTTGTATGTGTAATTAGATTAGACTAACCCCGAATGCATAGATCTAGACTTCAACCAGAGAACCCTGACTGTGTGCTCATAATTGCTCAGATCTCCTCGCATTGGTAGACAACTGTAAACTGATTAGCCTGGCGGGGTTTGATCTGGAGGAGTTACTGCCACTACTAGACCGCAGTATGAAGGATATGCTCAGCAAGGCAAGAGAGCTCTTGGGAATTCAAATTCACACCGTTGTTTCAGCTCAATAGAAATTAACAGTGTTTACCGAGTGCTTGCTTGTATGGTCTGCTATGGTTCGAAACCATTTCTGTGAAGTTATTACTGTTTCCACCTGGTTACTGAATCATTGTTTCGTATGGGGATGTGAGGGTCGCGCTGTTGTTGTTGTGGGCTAGAGTTACTTGTAGATTGCTGTCTTGTATTATGACGGAGCCTGTTCGAGAAAACTCTCGAGGGCCAACACCCGAGGACCCAACGACGGAGGGAGATGTTCACGTGCACGACATCCGAATTGAAGAGGCTCGGCCCAGTGTGTTGTCACCAAATCGAGGGCGTTCGGTTTCTGAAGGGCGATCACGCGTGAATTCTCTCCCATCGCATAGCATGCTTATGGTAGGAAAACGACAGTGAAGGGAAGAAATTGTTGTGGTGGTTGTCAGGTTCATATGAGCGACTCGAGACTGTCGGCCAATTTGAGCGCAATCGACCCCGCATCAGCAGCGGCTGCGGCTCCCACGGGAGAGCCCATGCTCGGATCTGTGGAATTGGCAGACAAGAGCAGCGGCTCGAACTCGGTGGCCGAGCGAGATAGGGACAGTTCGATGGACCTCTCGCCGGGCATCCATCGTGGCCAGCCTGGTGCCGCACGATCTACTGCTGAGCTCTCATTCTTGGTGCAGAAAGGTGGGCAGTGGTGATGATCTGCAGTTGTTGGTGATGTGCTCTACAGGCATACGAGGGGTGTTGTCACGCGGGGATAGCGGAGTCAATCGACCAGGAGGAACAGTGACTAAACAGTATGGGGCTGCGGTGAGGAGCTTGGATGAGGTTCGGGCAGTTACGGTATCGGATTAGGTTGCTACCCTTGGTGCCAAGAGCCAGACGCGGTTCCAGTCAAAAGCAATTATACCCACTTTTGATTTCAGCACGTATAAAGGGAAGACCTTTGCCAAGTTGCGGAGGTGAGTTATGCTTGTGTATCGCCTTGTATTGATTTCCTTATTTTCAGAGTGTTTGGTGTAACTGATGCGGAACTGGTATCTTCCTTGTGTGACTATCCATTGCGGACTCAATCGGGCACGGGGGATGCTGGGAAATCTGGAAGTATCTTCTGGTTCACCAGTGACTCTAAGTAGGACTTGTGTTGTCGTCTCATTGTTGTTGAGTAGTGGTGTGAAGGTATCTGTTGAAGTCGATATCGCGTAAGGAATCTATGCTTCTCCAGAACATCGTGGGCGACTATCTGAAACACTTCATTAAGTAGGCCGACCTGAATGTGTGGTGTTGGTGATAGTGATAATTTTCAGGAATTCCAACTCTATTTTATGTCGGTTTTTCGCACTGTTCAAAATCAAACTTCAAGGTTTCAAGCGAAGTAAGGGACTGCTGTATCGCTCCGCTAGAAAGTGTTGATTGTTTGGGCGGTTTTGATTAGGCACGAGGTTCGTTGTGATGAATAACATATTTGGCGGGCTGTCGTGTCAGCGGAAATATGATCTTAAAGGCACCACTGAGGACAGGTAGGTTTTTTGGCAATTGTCGCTATCGAGCTAGCGATTCAGATATGTGGCGCAGAACTCTGATTTGATGACCTCTCATGGCACAGACCAAGGCAGTCGAGCCCCACCGGGTACCAATAGCGGTCAGGAGACACCACGGTCGCCGAAGGTTCTCAAGGACCTTAATTTCTCAGGCCAGACTGTGATGTTGCCAGAGGTGAGGTTCATATTGACGATTTATATCATCTGGTGTTATTGACAGGTCCTTTGTGCGGCTATCAAGTCGGCCCTTGTTTGTGATACTGAGTTCCTCATGAAACACAGAATAATGGATTACTCCCTTATTCTTGGTATTCATGAAACTTGTGGTAAGAACGATTTTTGTGGCGCAGCGGTAATTATTTCCCTTCAGACGTCGCCGCTGTAAAAGCACTGGTGGACGCCGATCAAGTTGCCGCGGCTATTGTGGTAGGTGCTCTGTTGATGCATCACGGGGACCTGGCCAATCTCGAACTTGCAGGTCTCATCAGCGCCTGCTACACCTTCTGGAGTGGAGCCTCGAAGTCGATTGTTTGAGCTGTATAAGGGTGGAGTGCCGGGATGGGATGATGATCGAGGTGAGATTTGGACACAATCTGAGCTCGTACTTAGGCAATTAGCTCTGGCGGATTGTATCACACCTGAGGAGAATATTCGTGGAGATATGTTGGAATTCTATCGATAATTCTCATAACAGATGTTCACATACTATTCAAGTGCGCATATTGGTTATCTAACAGTACTCCATAGTTACTCAACAGCTGTTTATATAACAGTATTCCATAGTTACTTAGTTAACAGCTGGTTGTATAACAGTAATTAACAGTTGCTCAATTGACAATTGGTTATACTGTATAACACCGAAAATAATACTATCTCCTTTCACAATAATATTGTGATAGTAGCACAATCCTCCGAGAGATTTGTGATTTTTTGGTTGATCATCCTCATTGTGTCAGGTGTGTGTATGGTGTACTACGTTGGTATAATTGATATCTTGCAACAGTACACTTTCAAGAAGCGAGCCGCTAGATTGATGAAGAAATACACTATCGGGTGAGCGACTCGTCTCGCTTCTCTGAGAGGCGCACACTTTCCTTGTTGCCTCAGATGCTTCCATGAGATTGACACTGAGCCGCCTGAATATTATCGAAACCGTTTTGTAAAATATCTCGACGAAAAGTTCGTTCCACTATCGGATGCCGATCTGTCAAAGAAACACGCGGAGGTTCCCGAAGTTCAAAGTTTTCTCATGAGCCAGGCCATACGGGAAAATCAGAGCGAAGGATGTCAACGAACTGTCAAGTAAAGAATATGAATCAGAAGCATTCTGCTAGCGGCGACGTCGATGTGTATGAGATAACGATTGGGCAGAGTGTTGCCCATATTCAGCCAGTTTTCTCGTGTATCATTTCACAGCGTAGTCTGCAAGTAGCTGACATGTAGTTGTCAGGGCTATTCTCTTGGCCATAGACAGTAAGTAATTTTGTTGTTGGCCTTGGTGCAGCTGACCTTCTCGTTATGTGGGCCACTACTTGTGTGTAGACTGTGTTCAGTAGCTGCTGTGTAACGGAGTCATATTTATCATTGTTGAACTACCCGCTTTAGTTCATCCAGTTCAATCACGGGATGAGTGGATCAACTACTAACACAAGAAAATATCATCACAGCAATTTGCACTTATTGTGTGACAAAACATGTCAAGATGTGATGGCGATTAGTCAGCATCTTTTTCTGGGGCTTCCGACGACTCCACAGGTGCTTCCTTTGGTGGCTCTGAAGGTTCGTTGGGTTTCTCTGTCGTCGATTCTGATGATTTGGTCGCCGATGCAATGGCTGTTCGCAGTTGGTCTGTAGGCCCTGATACAAAATGAGAAAAATGAGAATCGCAAACCAACAACGAGATAACTACTTGCGATATACGCGACAACAAAAGCTAGCATGATAACGCTCCCATCATAGGCTTCTGAGTCAGGCGTGGTGTTTAAGTCTGCAAATGAAAAATTTGAATTGTCCCATACTAAGGAAAATTACGTACCGATTTTGAAATCGTCACTAGAAGATCCATCTTTGAATTCTGTGCAAGTTAGAGAGAACAGACGATGCGAAAGAGTGTAAGCTTTGTTATCAGAGTCACCCACATCTGTCACATCTGAAACGCGTTTGGTGATGATCAAGACGGTCTGGTAACTTCCCACGTAGAGTGTCATGTTTCTGATCTTTGCCACACTTGATCTTCACGTTGAGCTGGTTTGCATCAATGGGCTTGTCACCGTTACCGTTGCACTTCACCTCAACCTTTGTTCACACTTACAAGGGGCGGACGACTGTGTGTGGTCGCCCACCTTCGCTGTGGTGGAGCCGGCCTTGTTCATCACACGTGCCTTGATTAATGCTGACCAACCACTATCCGACACTTTCACTTCGGGTGAGGCGATCTCGACAGTTCCAAAGGTTTCTCTAGTGCCACCTGGATGGTCGACGAATCCCTCTCTAAAATGACGCACTGCGGACTGAATTCACAATGAAAACCCACAGTGTGAATGCTTTGTCGTCAGCGGCGGCGGCGGCGTTCTGGTCGGTTTTCGCATGAGATCGCTGGGCCGCCGAGTGCTTGACGAATTCGAGCCACTCGATATCTTCTGTTGTGAATATCTTGTAATTGGATGAGTAACTAGGAGGAGAATCCAGGTTGAAATTAGGTCCCGAGTTCGACCCTACGGTCCGGCTTTTTGTATGCGGCACTTTACAGGCTTCTTCGAATCGGGCAATGCATCACCGTCACCAGTGAGCTTGCGGGGAGTCGACTCACAGCACTGAGCGTTACCCATGAAACACACTAACTGAGTCTCGTGCGCACAACCGTGGCAGTCTCGAGACAAATCGATCAGAATGGCGAGCGCGGTTCACGCAGCAGTACGTGCAGTCACCACTTAACGCCGTTAAGTTAACGGTATATCTCCTAAACCTTGCCGCTAACGGGACATATTCTGTGTGACATCTACTGGTCTACTGCGCAAAAAGAACTCCACTTGGGAGAGGTTTCCATGTTCACTTCACTAATAGTATACCTCTACACGTGCATTGCGAGGACTCGGTTTCAACGCTTCCACTGGGTGAATCATGCGGGTGAAATCAATAAGTCGGCCTCGTTTGTGCAAGAATCTGAACTCGTTAACCGACTCATTGCTCTTTGTAACGTAAAGCAAGGCTTTCTGAAGGGCTCTGCTGCTCGTAGGTTCGTCGTGTGAATGCTACGATTTCACTACCGTCTTTTTTCGTGTTGGAGGAATATATGTTCGCTCTCCTCAGCTGAGCTCACAAGTTTTTTCACTCATTATAGAAATTTCATGCGAATTCGGGTAGAAGTCTACAGAAACCAATACGAACTTCCCCCCAGAATTTCCTCATAATTTTCCTTTTGTCACCAACACATGTAATTGACCAGGTGCATATTATCCCCCCACACTGGTCGTTTAACTCGACTCGGGTATTTTAAACGATCTCGTCCAGTCATTTCAATACCAACTTTCATCCAAGTGTTAGTGAGCCCAGCAGACGAACATAATTTTACTAGACGTGGAAACAGCTCATTAGGTCACCGCGGACCCGACAATACCGTGGGGGTCTGTTGTGATGATATCACGTGATTCTACTCTTCGACGCTTTATGGCAAAATGCAGAGAATTGTTTGGATCAGGCGGTCAGTCTGGTCGCGAGATTATATCATAGTACCCTTGTGAAAACACTACTCTGTTGTATTCCTCTCTGATGATGCAACCGCTGAAACAGTCTGATCGATTTTGGTGTTCGATCGCATGCCACTTCTGACGATATATGAGAATATCACCTTCACCGTTGAAGCAGAATTTTCAAGTTAACCATGACTTTTGACTCCCTGTATCGAATTTCACTTTAATATGTTGCTGCATTTTACGTTCATCCGAATTTGTACTGTGAGTTTTTTGCTTTCCTTTGTAGATATTCCCGAAGAAATTTTTGTTTTGTTACATACCATACATCGGGAAACTTCTGTGATGCGCTGTAGGTTTTTTTCCATTGCATCTCCCGTCGACTGATTTACGCGCATGTCCGTAACGGCATTGACACCGTCCTGTCCATGGATCAGCAAAAATGACGACCGCGAGAAATTTTCATATGCGAAGTCCTATCAAAACGATAGCAGGGCTCCAGCAATGAGGCGATTCCGAAGGCACCCTACTACGATTGAGCAAAACGATAGGGCCGACTTTGGGTCCTCTTCGTTCGATTCTCGCAGGGATGGGCGAACAGGAGCTACTACTACTACTACTACTAGAGCGAAGGCTTATGTGTCTCGGTGGTCTGTACTCAGTGTAACGACATCACCTGAGAGTAAGCTGAACAGTTCAGCAATGCATAGTTTATCACATGCCAGGTCCAGGCACGAATGGTCCGAGTACTAAGGCGTCCTCTCAGCCGTACTCGACTCCAGAGAGTACATCTGATGACTCGTCGACTCCTCGAGATCACGACGGGCCTGCGGAAACCTGCCCTTGTGCGGTTTTACCGCGAAATGTTCCGGATCGAACTGATATTGATCGTTTTGTGAGTACATCGTACCTACTAGAAGGTAAAGTTTTTTCAATTATAATTTTCTCAGTTGCCATCGCTAAGCAAGGTTTTGGACCACCTTATCGCACTAGGAGAAGAGAGAGAGAAAAACATGCCCGAGAAACTCATACGGTCCCGTTTTCATTCGGTCGTTATTCCAAGTGAGCGCAATTCTTCTACTGGTAATTCACAATTGTGTCCTTAGATATATCAGTTGCCGACTACCTAATACGGCTATCGAAATTTTTCCACTGCTCGGGAGAATGTTTTGTGATAGCATTGGTGTACCTGGACCGAGCTGTGAAAGAAGCGGCTTCGGTTGCCGCTTGTGACGTAGCGGCTCCTTCTATTGAGGATCAATCCTCCATTTTTAACATCACACGCTTGAATGTCCACAGGTGAGAAGCAGAAGGGCTGTGTGCACATGGTCAACTACATGTGTTGGTGACAATATGATGATTCTGAGGAAATTCTGGGGAGTTCTTGTTGGTTGTTGTACACGTCTTGCCGAATTCGTATATAAACTCCTATAACTAGTGGGGAAGCTCTTGAGCTCAGCTGAGGAAAGGGAACATATATTCTAGCATTGCTCCTACAGTGTGGGGGAAAATTACGCATATGGTCAGCTACATGTGTTGGTGACAGTATGAAAATCCTGAGGGAATTTGGGAAAATTGTTGCTGATTTTTGTACACTTCTACTCGAACTCCTACAAATAACAAGAATTTCTCAAAAATTCCTAGGGACTTACATATTGTCACCAACACATTCCTGAGGGTGAATTGCAAAGTGTCGGGATTCGTCGCTTGTTCGGTTTTTCATCGTTTTGTGAATGGCGAAATTGTTTATGATCGCTTTTCTTAATTGAGAGTAGTGTTGGTTTGTAGGTTGTTGTTGACGGCCTTGACCCTAGCGGCCAAGTACTATGATGATTGCTATTATGCGAATAAGAGGTATGCCGAAATAGGAGGGGTATGCACTAGAGAGCTCAATTCGTTGGAAGCATATTTCCTTGATATGATCCGTAGGTCCCGGGTTCAAACCTCGGTGGTGTCATCATTTTTCTGTCAGATTATCGTTTATACGTGGCGCCGGAAGAGTACATAGCATATAAGGAAGAAGTAGAGAACGTATCGAAGCCCTTGTATGCTGCTACGTGTTTTGTCGGGGAAAAATAATACCACTTTTTGTTCTTCTTCTGCCACTTTGCAAATGCTGGCATAATCATCATATTGATAATTAAGTTAACGGTGTTGTTGATGATGATGAAGAAGATCGTACCGTTTTTTACACTCGTCGTCGAGGCGTCACCAAGGGACTTTCGTGTGTTATGTGCTCACATTTTCGTTGTAAATGGTACGGTGTACTCACTGTGTCTCCTCCTCCTCCAGCTGCTGCTGCTGCTGATCATCATCTTCTGACTAGTCTTCTTGTTTTTTATACTACGGCTCACTGCTCGGTTGTTGCTGCTGCTGCTATTGCGATTGTGTGCGTATCGATTTTTTTATTATTTCGTATGTATCATGTTAGTTCTTCCTGCTCCCACCAACGATCAGATTCTTAAACTTTTGATCAGCATCATCTCGACTGAATCAACTGTGATGGGAAAGTTGGGGGACGCTGCACCGTAACTGTTTTTTTCTCTATTGTGGGCATAAAGAGCCCGAACCAGGAAAAACGGTGCTTACTTGTTCTCAAAACCGACGTCATCAGATCATCAGTTTTGGTTTGTCGTCTCGTAGAGCTGCTAGCGAATAGTTGGTAGATAATCGATTAACCGTGTTGTTCATTTTTCTATATTCTCATGTCACAGTTGCCGTTGTCGTAGATTTGTATGTATCATGTTATGTAGAGATTAGTGATTCGTCTGTACGGCTGACCAAGTGGTTGATTACCAGTTGGCGTTATCGGTTTTATCTATTTAATGATTATGCATAGCTGTTATCATCATCAGTCGTTGAGGCGTCTATAAATTTCTTCCCCTTCTTGTCGTCGTCGCTGTATCGGGCCATCACCATCTGCACTGCCGGATGGTGCTGAGGACATAATTTTTGCGTGGATTCGTGAGTGGCCGAGATGGGTCTAAGAATGTCCTTGTCTCTGCCTTGCTCAATGATCATACGCTGTTACTCTCGTCACCACGTGTGGTATCATACTTGTTACTGCTCGGGCGGTTGAGCAATTTTTAGTGCAGCAGCAGAAACATCAATATTATTATTATCATCATCATCGTCGTTATTGTCGTCGTGATTAACTAATAATTTTGCTATGAATTACAAGATGCCTTGGATAGCGTGTTGGTGATTTGAGATCGTCGTAGGGTGAGTGGTAAACCTGACGTTTCCTTATCTACATAATATTGTTATCATCTATCGCTCTCTGAACCCATCTTTTCATTTGCTATTTGTCGTGTCACATCAACTAGCGGCTTGTGTTGTCAATCGCCCCGGTGGCATCATATCAGTTGATACAGTCATCAGTCGAGTGTAACGTGTTGTCTAACATTGATACTGGTCCGATGCAAACGGTTGGTAGGAGGCCATTTGAACTCACGTGGCACCTTTCTTAATCTTGATAAGATGCGATTGTCCTGCTTAACGTCTCTGCCGACTGTGGATTGAATTCACAGATGGAGAATAGCGACAGTAGCAGGCTGCAACTTGCAGCGCACCTTCTACGGAAGGCCGAGATAGTTTGGTGACTGCGATACAAACACCCCTGTTGACTGGTCGTGTGCGAGTACTCGGTCACTTCTGAACTACCGATTGAACATGATACTTCGCGATGGTGCCACGATGGACTCCAGAATCACGATTATTCGCTCAACGTTGGTGTATCGCAAAGCGCTTGGTAGAATAAGTCGCTCCTACTGTACTGAGTGTAGAGCGGCTTGTGAGGGACCACAGCTGCTCGCCAAATCTTATAAGACATCGTGTTCTCGTTGATATCTACGCCGGCGGTGTCCATTCTGACTAGCGTTAACCCTCTAGCTGTGTTCGCTTGGTCAATGATTATCTGCTATTGACAGCACGTACGATTATGGTTAGTGTATGTTCCGAGTAGAGACTTCACTGTCCCTTCATAAACTCAGTTTCCTCATCACGAGCACAGTTGTATTGCGCTATGCATAGTGACATACGCAGAGAGTGTTGCTTGCTATATATATTGATGTTGCTTCCGACAGCGGCACTTGATGACACTTTTCAACTCCTCAACCATCGAATAGAACGTCAAGTTGGAATGAGAAAAAGGAGGTCGCCTTGAATGATTCCTATCAAGGCATGAAACGATGGTCAGGTGCACTGACACGGTATGCGTTCCCATCTGGATGGCTCTTGTCATCACCCTCGCACTGATTCTGGTGAACGCTGCTTGCTATGGAGATTTGAGACGAATAAATCATGGCGTAAATTATAAGGGTGATGACTGATAGTCAATATTGTAGGAGTACGACGGCACTTCAGGAGAGCTGTGCGGTGCGGACGCGAATGTCCGAGATGAGCCCTTCCTCTATTGGTGCGCTGGCATCGAGGGCGAGGCACACACACCTCTTGCTATGAACTATGAGAACCCTATCTGTGTACAACGTTGCCCGACAGAACAAGAACCACTGGGCAATCTTGCCTGTCCAATGCCGGCTAGAGTCGATATAGCTCATAATGGTGATGCGCCCTATACTGGGAAGATCACGACGATCACGCAAGTAGTGGTACCTCAGCAAGGACTCCACACTATACCTGTTGCTGGTCGGTATTGTTTCCCAAACGAAACCTTTCTGGTGAAGCAGGTGGCCCCAATAGAAGTCGTGCTTGTCCACATCTTGCTGTAGGTTCTACAGGGCTCGATATCAAGCCGGCCACAGCAAGTTCTCGGCTGCCTCAGGGATTTTAGGAATGCATTGAAAGCTATCGCAACGAGTATCAGTATGGGCCAGCCGAGAGAGTGCTCTCCCTTCATCAGGTTTAGTGGTGACGCTTCTGTTCAACTATGGTTACATCATTATGGTTAAAAAGCACGTCAGGGTGAGTTGAAGTATCCTAATACATGCATAGCATCTTTCACACAGGCAGTAACCACGCTATCGCTGGCGGCCTTGGCAGTTGCCTCCTGTATGACAGCAATCTTGTGCTTTAGAGACGACGACATGCTCAACACAATCGATGTGGAATCATCCCTCGAGATGAGCCATTTCGACGTGCTGGTCTTTAGTGCTCTACGTTCGTGTGACTGCCTCCCCCTCCAGATTGCATTAAGGCGCATGCTCGGCGTCCTGTCGTGTGTATCAGCACTTGCATGTGTGCTCATCTGCTATAAGGCGCAGCACACCCTTAGACTGGGATCTGATTACGCAGAGGATACTTGTGAGAGTAGACGTCTCTGAACGCCCTTCACATTTTGATTCAGACAAAGTCATTTTCGAAGTCCCCTCGTTACTGCTGTACCCTTTGATCGACATCACCATAAAATCCGTCGTTATTTTAGTATTTCTCGTCCATCTTCACGCTGTGTTTATGGTCGATCTGTGTAGATCCTTGGCATCGCCTTTGTGTGGCTTATCACGAGCGGGTCAATCACAACTGAGAAGGCTGTCATTAACGGTCACCAAATTGCTGATGTCTCTCGAACCTTCGAGTATTCTGCTATAGAGAGGTATTTGACGATTATATTGTTGTTGATAGCATAAGTGTCAGATTCATGATAATCTATTGGTTGGGCTCATCGATATGTATAGGGGAGTTTCTATGGGCACTGACTCACTATGCAGTCAGTTACGCTACTATTCTCTATTACTTTGCGCCGAAAGAGATATGTGGCGGTCGTCAGGTGAGGACGATATCTGCCAAACACTTGAGCTGATGTCTGCTCGAATCTGCTGAATGTCATCGATGCGTTGGTCACACGCGGAATTTTGTGGAAGCATTTCGTGACGAGATTCTCGCACTTCCACGTCAGATGCCTCGGTTATCAACAGTTCACGGCTTCGTGAGCGGGCTGGGATATCATGCAAGCACGATAGCTCTTGGGTCGCTGTTGACAATGCTAACCCGACCTTTGAGGCTTCTTTCCAAGTTGATGGAAGCGGCGTTGAGAACTACGCCTGGTGCTGCCTCCTCAACTCAGTTTTGTCGCGGGGAAGTCTATCGGAAGCTGTTCAGTTTCGTCAGTGAAGATGCGTAAGTTGCCCTGTGGGTGGCTTGCTCACCACGGTTGATACAGCGTCTCTCCAGGTATGTTGATGTGGCCTTCAGCTCAAAATCCTTCCTGGCGGCCGCGAGGAACGTCTTTAAAGTTACATATAAAGATCGAGTCGCTGTTGGTGTGGTATCGAAGATGGCTCTGGTAACAGAGACTCAGTGCCAATGGTCAGTTCGATGGGTTCAATGACAGCTGATTCACGTTGTCGGGGCTGCATCGTCCGCGGTCATCAGTGGTTACATGGCGTACATGGTGGTCACTTCGGATGCAGTCATGATGAACATACACCACGAAGGACATGTGAGCCCATTCGACTACGCCGTTTCGAGGCCTCGAGCGTCCACTGATGCACTTGCGGCTGGGTTCGTGCGAGTCGCGTTCGGTAAATTTGCAGTCATTGTTAATTTTATAGGACAATATTCTTGGTGAAGATGTCAGGTCTCTTCTCCGCTTCTCATCTCAATCTTCAGCAGTACGCTTGGCGGCGTTATGTCGATGAGCTTCACAGCTACCTTCAGTGCAGTAGCGAACTCATTGCTGTACGAAACGCTCCTGTCGTGGGTCATATACTCAACTTACGTCAGATACTCTCACTGCATTGATCAGACGAACCCTGGTTATAGCGGGCATGTTCCGGCTCTTCCCCGAAATGCCATATCGTCGATGAGAAGTATCCCCGCAGATTTTACTGACATTAGCATGCGCTAGCTATATGTCGAATGATCATGTTTCATGCAACTGGAAGATTGTGCTTGAGTTGGATCTCTAGTCATTGGCTGAGAGCATATTATGGATGAAGCCTAAATTGGTCGAATGTCAGTCTTTCCTGGTTGAAATTTACTGCTGTTCATGCGCATCAGTTTTTTCTTTTCCCTAAGGCTTCCGTGGATTAGTGTAGACTGCAGCAAGGAAGGCACAGGAAGGATATTCACAGATAATCGCTGGAGCTATACATTAGCTCGCATACGACAGCGACAGGATTCGAACCTGCGCAGGCTGAGCCTAGCGGATTTCAAGTCCACCTCCTTAACCACTCGGACACGCTGTCTATACAAGTTTTGGATACCGCGAATCGCGGCGGGGCTCGTTATTCTGTGCAGAATTTCTGTCTGGATCGTTAGTAGGTGCGGCGCGCAGCATTGCCAGTGAGGACGGCGACACCTATGATAGCTCGAGCTAATTATTGCATGTGTACCAATATTTTCCTGCCCTATGGATTGCTTTACGCCAATAAAGACTGTTATAGGCAGCAGTTGAATCATTCAACTTGAATGCACTGGTGCAACACAACACTTTGGTATGAAAGAGGATTAAGGATGAAGCCTTAGCAGCCTGTGCGCATTATCGTACGTGCTTGCACGGCGTGATCGGCTGACCATTGCAACTGACGCAGAAACTGTCCGCAGATGGTTTCTCACCATATACACCATTCCGAATACGACAGCGGCAGGATTCGAACCTGCGCAGGCTGAGCCTAGTGGATTTCAAGTCCACCTCCTTAACCACTCGGACACGCTGTCTGATGAGGCTTCGGAGGCATAGTGTCCTCGCAACGATGATGCCACCTGGTGGGGTCAGACTTCCATTCGCAAGACCTAGAAGTTCAACGGCTACGTCGACATATACGCAATTTTGTCAGCATTGTTCGTAGAAGCCTTCTTTCAGATAACGGCGACCATGACGGTGATTTCGATAGAAATATTAGGTACGGTAGAAGATCAGTTATTTCATCTCCTATTGAGTACAGGAGCAACACAATTAGAGCTGGCTCATACTGGGCCCAGTTGAGACCATTAGAAGTGATCGCTGTTGGGCAACAGTGTTGATGCCAACAATCGGGTGACGAGTAGATGTTTTCGTGTGTTTATTATGCTTATCAACACGACTCGCAACTCTCCAAATGGGAAGAGTGGAAAGGCGCTGTCGCCATGCTGGGGTCGAAGTCAACTTTGTGTGTAGCACACGATCTCCGAACGATCCAGCGGACTTCCCCATGAACCTCCCTGTAGTGGAGGAGCCTATAGAAAATGAATGCAGAAGTGAACAGCGGGTTGACACTGTTCGGCTCCGTGCTTACCATGCCGGTCCTTTTCCAACTCAATCAGCTCCTTCTGCTCCTTCTCCTCCTCTTCTCTAGCCTTGATTCGCCGTTTATGTGAAGTAGTACTATCATACAGTCTTGAAACCACATTTTGATATGGGGCGCTGAGCTCAGCTACGATCTGATAGGACGTCCCAGGAGTATTAACGAGACCCTGCGGCCTACTACAGTATTTCTAGGTCGGATTAATTGTTTACCGACATCTTTTACCCACTTGGTCAATGTTTTACATATACGTTTTTTCGTTAACATTTTACTCATGGCTTTAATGAATTAATGTTATACCCAGTTTATTTGAAAGCATGGGAGTTCAATTCAACGTAGTCGGTCTGGAATTCGATCTGGAAATGCTATCTGGAGAGAGCCTACTTTGTGTTCTTTCCTCTCAGCCTTGATGTCGATATTCTCTCTCTCTTCTCTAGCACTGGCCAATCGTCTGATAACTTCTGCGTTTCTCTCCTCGAATCTCGTCCGCTCTCTGGACTGACATCGTCGTGCCGCTGCTTCCTGAGAGGCCCATAGTCGCCATAACCCTTCAACTAGCGTACACGCTCATGTTTCAGCCTCCGTTCTTCCTGCTCCTTCTGGAGTTTCGTCTCGCGATATGCAGTGATACGCTAAGAAGAAAACAAATGGCGCTCAGCCGATAGGGCTACCCACAATTCTCCGCCTTACTTGCCTCTCTCGACGACGCCTTTCAAGCTCGGCAGTTGAAGATTCACTCGACATCGCGGCATTCGATGCTGCTAGCTCCTGCTCTCGCTGTGAAATAGACCAACTGCTATATTCTCTTCTCACGCATACACACCATTCGAGCAGTCTTCTCCCTCTTCCACTCCTCAATGAGCTTTTTCCTCTCCATACGGGCAGCGTCCTCAGCCTCCTTCCGTTTACGAGCCATCGACCGCTCCGCTGCCAAATCCACCTATTCAACGTATCATACAGCGTATCAATACACATAGTAATACATTGGAGTTTCACCCATGATATGAAAAACACTAGTGAGAAAGATATCTTACAATTCACTACATACCGCGAAAAGCTACGTAAAACTGGTGAAACTCGACTGAGTTAGATCGAACCACTCACGGCATACTTCAGCGTTATCGGCTCGCTTCCTCTGCCATTGTTCTTTCCTCTCCCTATACTGTTCAATCAGCGCCTTCTTATCAGCCTCCAGCTCATTATAGCGGCTCCACCTAGCCTCCAAGCGAAAACATCTCACCATGGAGGCCCCTACCACGCGATGTGCTCCTCGATATCCTCCTGGTCTAGTTGACTTGACAACCTCCGCATGACTTTGTCTATGAGCCCATCCGAATGCCGACCAGAACAGCCAGAGACCACCTGTGGCACCACTTCTTCCCAAGTTGGACATTCCATCACCCCATGCGTTGAGATTTCAGAGCTCTGACTATGGCATTAACTCGAATATATAAATACCCCAGATTCTCTAAAATTATATAAAAATATTGCTATTGCTCGAATGTGATACTAATGTGATATGTTCACTAGGCCGTCTCGACGAATTAACGGAGCTCGTCACGTGTTCAGGGAAAAGCGTTTTTGGTGTATATATTTCCGGATCCAGATTTTCATATTTTTCTAGGTATAGCTCTCGCTTGCAAGTTCAGCTGCATTTGAACTCTCTCTGGTTGTGGAGAAATAATCCGTACGCACGCACATGATCCGAATTCTGATATATAAGCTCCGCTCGCTCTGCAATCAACAATCTCACAAATCGCAACTCGACCACATTTCAGTTTTTCTCTCCTACCTGTAAGAATGCATCATGATCCTTCGTATTCCAACCGCCAGTTCTGCCACCTTCGTGTCTGGCAGCAAAGTTATGATTTTAGTCCCTACCACCGACTGGTCTACGCCATCTGGTCTGCTATTTTCATAATAGCCGCTCTAATTTCCTGTAGTCGGGGGTCCTCTTCACTAGTCTGGCACGCCGATGAGACTGATTTCCTCCTACCCGAGGCCAAGAAGGAACTCTGAATATTTCAGCAGAGCTGTTCAAATGCACACAGGAGATTGGAAGCGACCTGTTGCCATTTGGAAAAGCGTTTCGAAGCGTTTTCCATCAGACTTCCAATGCGCTCCTCTTCTACCGTGAGATTGTCAAAGTCCACTTTCTGCTGAGATTTATACCTTCAGCAAGATCTCACGTACGGCCGAGTAGCAACTTCACCTGGTGATGCGATTCTCGAGTTCCAATGCGTTTGTCCGCAGCGTCGGCTCAGGCAGGCTCTCAGCGTTGGTAGTGAACTCGCGTACCTATTCCGAGCAAGAATTCATCCAGGAACCTATAATCTTCCCGAGAGGAACTCATTTTCAATTTTCCACATAGTTGTTAGCATATTTTCCGAACAGTTACCCTTTGAAACTGCACTAAGGGACACTTCGCACTCAGCCATTGTCGGGCCCTATGGCTGAACAGTATTTGCCAGAACTGGATGCTTTCGAGTACATCGCGAGGTGTTTGATGATGATTCCGACCACCACCGGACCGCTACCTTCGAACGAAGGAGAGTCAGCGTGTGATAGAGATCGTCTTCCCATCCGTCAAAAGCCAATTCTAAACATTTATTTTCATCACGTATATCTGACAGCTCTGCGTTAGTGAGGCCAAGCTGAGGAGAAAAGAAATAATCACCATAGAGAGCGAACTTTGCCCCAACTGACTTTTTTTGGATTTGAAGGTCCCTCAGAACTTAATAGATCAAGACACTCACGATACTGCTGTTTCAACAGCACCTGAATATGGTCGTACTGAGGAGGTTACTTCCGAGTTATCATCAACTAAATTGCCAGGTATATAACCAATCTTGTTGTAGCTGCTCTATATCGTGATTTCCGGGCAAAAAAGGAGAGAATTAAGTAGAAACTATTAGCAAATATCATAGGTTTTCCGATTCATTCTGTTCGTCTCCAATAAGTATACGAGTCGTCCTCTAACGGTCATAACTACTATGGCATTGCCCTAGCAACCACCTGTAACGAGCTCCACTTCTGCGCCCACGTATAGACGTTCTCTGAATCTTCAATAACCATATCGGTTTCACCATCCTCCTGCTGCAAGTCGCTCTTCTCGTATTCGAGCATCGTCGTAGCCTGTACGTATGAACTGTTTCAAGGAACGCCGCTGATTGCATTGACGACACAACAACTCTCGTGATGAGATCAAGACCAACAGGGACACTCTTGATGAGATCAAGACCAACAGCAGGGACACTCTTGATGAGATGAAGACCAACAGCAGGGACACTCGTGATGAGATCAAGACCAACAGGGACACTCATGATGAGGTGAAGACCAACAGCAGGGACACTCGTGATGAGATCAAGACCAACAGGGACACTCATGATGAGGTGAAGACCAACAGCAGGGACACTCTTGATGAGATCAAGACCAACAGCAGGGACACTCTTGATGAGATGAAGACCAACAGCAGGGACACTCGTGATGAGATCAAGACCAACAGGGACACTCCTGATGAGATCAAGACCAACAGCAGGGACACTCTTGATGAGATCAAGACCAACAGCAGGGACACTCTTGATGAGATCAAGACCAACAGCAGGGACACTCGTGATGAGATCAAGACCAACAGGGACACTCATGATGAGGTGAAGACCAACAGCAGGGACACTCGTGATGAGATCAAGACCAACAGGGACACTCATGATGAGGTGAAGACCAACAGCAGGGACACTCGTGATGAGATCAAGACCAACAGCAGGGACACTCGTGATGAGATGAAGACCAACAGCAGGGACACTCGTGATGAGATCAAGACCAACAGGGACACTCGTGATGAGATCAAGACCAACAGGGACACTCTTGATGAGGTGAAGACCAACAGCAGGGACACTCTTGATGAGATCAAGACCAACAGCAGGGACACTCTTGATGAGATGAAGACCAACAGCAGGGACACTCGTGATGAGATCAAGACCAACAGGGACACTCCTGATGAGATCAAGACCAACAGCAGGGGCACTTTTGATGAGATCAAGACCAACAACAGGGACACTCTTGATGAGATCAAGACCAACAATCGCAGATTCAAAAGATACGCCCGCAAAACACACACCGTGTCGTGTAGGGCAAAGCCAACGAGCATCATATACATGAGCAAACAGCTCGGCAAGGTGAAATCCGAGCTCATTGAAAGGTGTTCTTGGCAACAGATATTCCGTTAATAAACCTACTTCCCTTGCCCTTCAGCCACGCCTTTCCCTGCATATGGTAATGACCTCAACAGTGAGGCAACCACAGTATTAATAACAACCGCAGGAATAGACTCCGACGATGCCATCACCAACAAGAGAGTTAGAAAAAGGCGTTATCAAAGGCAGCTGTGAGCTCCTCTATTCTTAACGAATTCGTCGCGACATCAGTCATCGCTGAGATATCGTCAACAACCCAATTCCCAACCGCACCGTCTTCACGACGACAAGCAATGATAATGATATCACCAGTCGGACTTGGAGACAGCGCATGTCCCTAACCTCACTTGGTGAGGTCTCTGTTTGAACATATGCCCAGAGCGACAGCGTTATATGAGCGATATTCGTGGCCGTTTGGAAGGGTCACAGAAACCAACAGCACAGGATCTACGTCGCTCTCCGTGATCTCAAGATGGGAAGCTCCCCATGCCACTGACAAGATGACAAGCAAACATGAATAAACAATGGGGCGATGACTATCGCCAAGGACGATGACACATAAACAGTATTGTTGAACTCAGTCTTAGCAAACAACAAATCATCATAATCATTTTCACTCACCCAACTAGAACTGTGGAGTTTCACAACCCGTTTTACGTGAAGTGGCGTAATACTCGGTGAAAAACGCGATATTCGCGGTGATATGCAGTAGTCGTGGAATATGTTTTTCACTAGTGTTTTTCATATCACTAGGGTGGTGAAACTCCAGTATCAGAAGCCTCTCACATTCGCCAAGGGCGTGAAATTTTACGTCTGGTTCGCTTTCCTCAGCTAACTGGGACTCTCCTCAAATTTAATACGTTATAGATTAACACTGCAACACCGATCAGTTCGGGAGAAATCCAGATCGTATAACAGCAGCAGAGAACAAGTCATTCTATTAACAATTACGAAAGCGCGGCGGATAACTATTGAGTTCCGAAATACCTAAAAATTGATATTTCTTTTCGAACACCCACTCAAAAGTTACAATCACCTGTCACCGAAATCACCAAGGCCCGGAACAATATACGCCTTCTCGTTGAGTCCTCGATCAAGGCATCCACTGACAATACGGACCTAGCAAAACTATCGATGATACATTGCGAATTTTTCTTATTACTCTAGGGTAAGCAGCAGTGAGATTTTCAATGCCCTCTGGACACGAAATGAGATTGAGGAAAATGATATCGCTCTCTACTATGTGGCAGTTGGGGTCCTCCAGCAAGGACTTGATCGCCTAGGGGAAGCGCCGCCCATACAATGAGGATAACAACAAGACGGCACTCACCATAATACAGCTCCCTCCGGTGGCCAGCATCGGGTCTAGCAGCAAAACATGTGGTGATGACCTGAACTCATAACAGTGCTGGAAGAACAATATGTTTGCTTTCCTCAACTGATTCGAAAACTTACAGAATTTTCCTGCAAATTCGGGTGGAGTCGAAAATTTCCCGAAATTTCCTCCCAGAATTTTCATATTGCGTCCAATGCTGTGCATATTTTTTCACACTGCGTAATACAAAAGGACCGCGCCACTCTAAGAAAGCAATCTATGATGAAAAACCCCCACTACTACTTGAACTCGGGGAGTTTGATATAAAATAGTTTTGGCATCGCAGTTTCCTCATCACGTTGAATGAGAACCTTTCCAATTCTGGCTTCTGGGAATACTTCTTGCACAGGAGCCTCCATGCTTTCACCAGCACGCACACTGAACGAAAACTTATTCCCAATCAGTGTTGGAGGAGTACATGTTCGCTTTCCTCAGCTGACCTCAAGAGCTTCCTCACTCACATTGAAAGTTTAATCAAACTAATGGGAATTTCCAGAAATTTCCTCAAAATTTTCAGAAATTTGTATATTTTCCCACACTACCAATTACATGCTCACAGCCATCAGATGGTCCTCTGGAAGGCGCACACCCTTCACAGTTTCCTCAGTGGGAGTCGTTACTTTCACATCTTCAGCGCACCTACATCGCAGAGAACAGTAACACTTCCAGAAAGAGCCATGTCTCTCACTTGATCCAGCCGAGGTTGATAACCTCCTCAACTAGCAGCCTCGTGATGCGATCAGCTGCTCGACGGAACTCCGCTGATTTTACAGTATCAGCATCGCGTAAAATCGTCATTTGGGACTTCAAAAATAGTGTTGGTGAAAGTATATGTACATTCTTAGGATGCCTATAGACATCATACGATACACACACTAAGGCAGCTCTCTGTAGTCGTACTTGCAAATCACTTCGGAAATCCGAGCCCGTTCAGCGTCGTCACTGGCATCAATAATCAGAGAAGTCATATGACAATATTGGAGGAATAAAAATCTACTTAATAATCGAGTACCACACCCGCTGCAACGACCACAATACAATAAGTTGGTACATTGCCAGGTACCCTTACGTGCTTTACCCGATACCACGATGCAAGGCTCTCGAGGCCTCATCAGCCGTCAACCTCCACAACGTGTAAAACATCAGACAACCATTAACATGAACAATGAGCCCTCTAGAACTGCATCAGCTACTGCGAGCACCGGCTCAAGACACTAGGCAATGCTACAACTAACATGCAGAGTTGAAATCATGGAAAGCACCAATCGTTCGCACAACTCCGAAGGGCTTTCCACGATATCATATATTCTCCGTCACGCGAACATTATGAACGGAATCAGATTCCTTTCGAAGGCTTCCTCGTCACCTTCACCCTCATTGCGTATCGCTCCTCTTCCAGTAGTATTGGCTATATCTGCATTTGACCATAAGTGAGTTCCAATTAACACCTCCCAGTACTTGATAAAGGGCGATAAGCTCTACCAAGTGCACCACAGATGACCTTCGAACATCGCAGCTTCACTCAAACTCCATTGGGTCCAGCACAAGGACCGCCCTAAGGACCGTAGCGGAGCTCATCGAGGGGACCAGGAGAGCTAGGGCGCCAAAACTACACAGCGCAAGTACTGCTCTGTCTCTTCCTCGATAGGTCATCATTCCAAAGGAGCCTCCTCACAAGGCAGTGTTTAAGTGTACGGCTGACCTGTGTGGCAATACCGAAGATGCATATATTCACCAATTGTCTAGCTCAATCAGCATAAATCGGAACTTGTTACATTAGATCGTGCCACCAAAAGCGCTCCTCGGACCAAACACTTCCTTAACAGCTAAGTGCGTAGAGCACCACGATATTAAGCGAAAGACTCCCGGATCAATCCCCACGACACGTATCATCAAATTTTAAGAGATGATTTCGTTCGACCTACACCCCGCTGAGGCATTCTTAGATAACTCCTTGATTCTTCAAGTCGCATTATTGATAACTATGCTAACTTCGCTATTGATACGATTCGTT